GTGCATAAAAAGAAATTCGATTCTATTGAGAGAATATCTTTTTCTTCTTTTATATATTCTTTTTATGTTATAGACATCTAGAAATTATATAAAAAAATAATTTCTATTACTTATATTAATAGGGATAGAGTTCGTTAAATTTTTGAGATTGTTAAGTTGTCGTACACGATTTAATCGAATGCCCGAAACAAATAAAACAGATAATTAAACGAAGATGCAGTCGGATTTAACTGTCACTGATAGAGCGATTTTTCGAAAAAAGATATCACCGATCTCAATATTATAAATAAAGCGTTTGGTGCTTGCGGGTCGTGCTTACTGTGATCCTTGCTCTCGTTGCCGTCTGTTTATTTTTAGATTACGGCCGCGTATACATGGATCATGCAGCGCGTAGTGCCAAGAGATACGGCAGATCGGCAAATCTAGGATGAATAATATTATGTAAGAATCAATCGGCCAAAAATATTTGAAATTGTTTACCAAATTATTAGCCGCAAAATCTAAGTTTTAATTAATATTATTAGTATACATCTCTGTAAATAGTTTTTCGAATGTATCGATATCGCCGGCATCTTGATCTCGAATGAATCTTCGTTTAAGTAGCAATGATAATAAAAAAAAAAGATAATTAAGGAAAGGTGATAGGAAGACGTTTGTATCATGTAACATCAGCGTATATCATTTTGATCATAAGTACGCTCTGTAAATAGTTCCTTTCTATCTGTATCTCTTTCAGATATATATATATATATATAATTAGAGCTTTTAGTATTCTAATTACGCAGTCTTTTGCATCAAATTTTAATTCAACTTGATTTTAATTCGCATTTGTGTATATAATTATGCAATATTAAAAGAGACCGATGTGAGATGTCATCGAATTGTAATCGTCTAAAAAAATCTTATAATGTAATATATTAACGTTATTAGTAGCAAAATTATTTGATGCAATGGAATGCATGTTCTGAATTGCCAATTTGTGATTACGACGAATTTATCTTGCGTTCTCGTGCGGAATTTCGGCTTACGGCTTCATCAAAGCGAGAATGCTTGAGGAATTCTCAATTAGACCAATTCGACGATACTTCATGCATTATTATTCCTTCCTACGATCGTTTGTATGGAAGCTAAAACGCGATGCCATAGGGACGTGATTGCATGTAGTAAAGTTTTACACAGGTCGATTAGATATAATCATATAAGTGAAGAGATCGAATTGTTAAACTTTGTATTACGGTAATTTTTTGAATCGCGCGCGTCCAGCATTCGTTGTAACGAGAATCGAATTGCAAATAAACGATGTCTCGTACTGGAGATATGCTACCTCAAAGGAAGCGTTTTCTTATATTTCAATGCGTACGTATACGCGGCGAAATTCGCATTACGAGAAAAAATGCAATCGGAACTGGATTTTCTTTCCATCATGATAAAATTCTTTAAGATTTTCTCATATAGGTCTACTCTTACATAATCCGGCATTAAGTAATAATGCAAATATTCTATTTTAATTAGCGAATAATGTTATTCATGATGATAGCAGTATTAAAAGAAAACGTGCGAGAGTGAATTAAGTTTCTGCTGATATGATATTAATTATGTGGAAAAAACAAATGATGCTGTTATTTTTCACAGATTTGCGTTAAAATAAATGTTAGATTTCAGGAGAATTATCAGAGAATATTGATTTCTCTCACAGCAACATAAAAAAATTAAATTTTATAAATATATTACATATATATAAGGATTGATGATTTTTAATTGCTCGTCAATATTTTAAGGGACAGAACAAGGTTAACGCACGTATATACATATATATTACTTGATAATATTTCAGTACTGAAAAAATAATTCTTTCTCTTATTTTTTTAATCTTTCGCTTAAGCAATTTCGTTCTTTATAAAAAAAATTATTGAAATAAAAATTTAATTATTATATATGTATTATATGAAAAGAATGCGAATTTCAGCCGTGCGATAAATACAAGCGAGCAACAAATCTCGAAATTAAAGAGGATTATAGAATATGTATTATATATATGTACACTTGAATAATTGTGATACTTGAAAATAAGTAGGACATTTTTGTTGTACATTGCATTTGGTTTCTCTTTATCTGTATTACATCGAAGATAAAACCTTCAGTCGCATCTAGAAAAATTGTTTAATGATATATATCTATAAATAGAAAATATTTATTGAGCACTACGATCAAAGATAATTTTATCTGCAATTCTTTACAGTCATCTCGATAAAAGTATGTATAAATAAGTTTATATATGTGTATATACATTTATTCGGTGTCTTCATTAGTGTTAGCTTTTTTAGTAAAATTATAGTTAATACTGAAATAAGTTTATGCATTCCTCTTTTCTTCCATTAACAGAACTTAAGGATAATTTGTCATGGTAATGTGAAGGTAAGTGATGTTAAAAGCTTTAATATTGTGGATAAATAACGTACGAGATATATTATAGATGATTATTTGTATTTGTACACAATACTATATAACAAGGAAAATACTGAATGAGAAACAGATGCCTTATTTGGTGTATCACACGGGCGCAAGCCTAAAAATCATGTCGCAATAGAGCATCTCTCTCTCTCTCTTTCTCTCTGTTGACTATATAATTTAATACTCATAAGGAGAAAAAAACTCTACACAGACTACATTAATGAAACATACATGTATCTTCTTTTTCCTCCCCATCCTATTCGAAAACTGCTCTCACATATCGTTAAACATATACATTACGAGTTACACAAATAATTGGAATATTACTATTTTTAATTTATACAATACTTGAATTTTACTTGTAATGAGCACGTTATACTCTGCGCATATAAGACACTTGCGTAAATAAGGAGTAATAATTCATGGAAGGAATCACGCGAGTTTACGGTTAATTAAGTAATAAAAGTAGTACTGGCTCTTCGTCTTGTGCGAATTTCATATCATTTTTTAAATTCTTTTTTTTGCAATATAAGTGATAGAAAAATATATAGATTATATATATTACGAAAGTTTTTTCCCAATAATGTTATATCCATTTGATGCAGTAAAGGCATTTGTTGAAATTTTTACTTTCATAATAATCACTTGCGCGTTATCGCGTTTGAATCTTTTTATTAAACAATATTTTCGCTCTCTCTCTTTCTGCTACTGTTTTTTTCTTCTAAAGAGCATCTTTAAAAGTTCTTTTACTTATACATATAAAATGTACATATCGAATGAATCGAAATATTCATAAGTAAAAATTGTCACAAATACACTATGAGAAAGAGCTATTAATATTATTAATAATACACAATTTTTATCTCATAACGACGTAATATCAATATATTCAATATTTTCGACTGAGTATGAAATAAAATGAGATACTGCAATCAACAAAAAAATATTTTTACATTGTTATATAATAGAAACTTCAGTCCAAATATCTCGCAATCATACAGATTTCAATATGCAAATACAGAAATCACAGAGGAAAACAAAAATAAATTTTCACATCTTTCATAATTATTAATATGTAATAATGAAGAACCTCGAGATCCCCAACATAAACACTACTCAAACCCTGAAAACAACTATAAACTATACGTAACAGTACGTGGAAGATTATCCGTAAAGTCTCATGTTGTATGCGTTTCAACTTAGTCAATATTAATACTAACGAAAATGCCTACGAAAGCTAAAAATCCTACACATCTGGAACACAATGTATCTATTAGTAGTGAGCAACATTTTGATCAGTAAACGAATTAAATTAATCCAGAATAGCGATTTGGTGTCGCGCACGACTGCGAAGTAAGAGAGAAAACAAAGTATCTAAATTCAACGCTTTGGTGCATAAATATACATCCACCCACGTTAACAATTGCGTTTTTCCAGAATGCAATATTTCTGTTCTCATATTTTCTTCTCGTTCATAAATAGCCGCCTACGCAATAACTCTAGAATAAATATCTATCACAAAAGGCTGGTCTAATATAGTGGCTTTTATAGTTTATATAGCAATGTCCTCGCGCGCGTCGCAATGGCTATTTAGGAAAGGTGCAACACTTGTGCAATCGAGTAAATGTTTACTGAATACATGCTACACGGAATGCGTTTAAATGTGTTTAACGTCATAATTTGTTAAGCAATTTTCTGGTATGTTCAACAAGCGCCACATTTCGCAAGTCAATTAAGCGGAACATTAACTTGACATTTCAAATTTTCAAATTTTAAAACAGATAATATTCATACATCTAATAAAAAAAAAAAAAAAAATGAAATCTGTAACAGATTTTCGTTCTCGCTTGAATAATGTATGTCCGAAAAATTGTTCGCAAGATAGATCTGTACAAGCATTGCATTTCCAGGAGACGCCAAATAAGCGATGCGCGCTATAATACTAGTTTTATAGGGCCTTAATCTAACTATTTACATTTTATATCGCTCGATATTTCTACGTCGATTGAACGAGAGTCGCGACAATAATAAATACAATGACGATATAAGTGTTTCGCTATCGTTTCTTATGTTGTACTTATACCGTGACTCGCTGATCCTTATGCAATAGTAATGAATACTCTGTTGTGCATTGGACTGTCGGGCGGATCAACGTCCACTATAGGTCACTTTTTTGACAGTGGGACTGATAAGTCCTTGTTCCTCATAATACTATGGCTCGTTAATGTGCACGACTTACAGAATATTTATATCCTGATTTAAAAATTAGCGCGTTCACAAATACTCATTGCAGAAACGCTACAAGCGTTAAATCTGCTTGCTCAACTCGCATCTTCGTTTCAGACCGCGCTATCGACGTTTTCACTCGCATGTCGCTCGTGATTCGTATAACGCAAGAGAGGATCATTTATAGTTCCCATTTCTTCATCGTTATTGACAGAGCTTATCACGACCTCTTCTGATAGAAAAAAGGACATAACGTTATTTGCGATAATCAATAAACAATATATGTTAACGTTAAACATAAAACCACATTGTAACAAACTGCGGTTTTATGATGGAAATATTAATTTAAATCTTTAACAATGTAAAAATTATTTACCGGGCAAGCATAATTGTAGTTGATCGTTGCTGGGATTAGTGCTGTCTCCGGTTCCACTGTCTTTACTGTGCTGTGAACTCGTGTCCAGGTACAGCTGCGTTTGTACCTCTGGTACGCTGGTTAGTATAACAGTCGTCGTTGGTTGCGTGACGTCCTGTGTGGAATTCAATTGCCGTCTGGTTTTGTAAATCACGAGCACCCAGACCACGGAAGTAATGACCGCGCAAATAACCACGGTTATTATTATTATGCCTAGGATCTCGGATTCATTCAGCGTGGAAACCGGGGCTACATATCAAATAAATAATCTTTTCTCATCATTGGAATTTACACGAGATTTTTTCTTGTGTGTGTGTGTAATTCTTTTTAATAAAATAGCTTATTGTATTTATACATCAACTACAATGTTTTGTTTCTACTTGCTCTTATTATTTTATTATTTGACATTTTCAAGAATTCTTTAATTATCTATTAATTTTAAAAAAGTCATAAAATGTTTAAACAAGGAGAAATTTAGCGGTAAAATCCTTCAATCTTATAATATTAATAATACCTGGTTAATATTAAAATTACCTGGCTTGACTGTGAGATGTGATTCACCGACGACGCTACCCAGTGAATTACTCATCTCGCACTCGTAGATACCCTCGTCACTGGCAATTGTACTAACAATGATCAAAAGTTGATTTTCTGCAGTGAAGAAATGACGTTCCGTTGTTTGCAGCGGACTACCGTTCTTGCGCCACAATAACTTCGGACGTGGCGAACCGCTGGCCATGCATTCGAGCACGATTGAGCTACCTATCATCACTTCTTTATTCTCCATCGGTTTTACGAAGGACGGTGTTTCTAAAAAAAAAAAATTCTTATAAGTATTATACATATAAGAATAATTTATATATTTAAAAAAAATGCTTTCGACTAGTTAAAAAAAAATAGCATTACTTTTTAAAATAGTATCATTACTTAATATTGTAAGAGTAGCGTTTGCAACAATAACACCAGCCAGATTTTGCGCAGTGCACGAATAAACTCCACTATCGGCCATTTTCACGTTTATTATGAATAGTACGTCGTCTGTCGGCATCATATGCATTCGTCTTTCCCTCGCAGCTGGGAAATCGTTCCCACCGTCCTTCTGCCAGGCTATTTGCGGGGATGGTTGTCCCTCGGCAGAACACTCCAGACGAGCAGTGCTTCCAGCAATTACTCGTATATCACGCGGAATTTTGGAGAACGATGGGAAAACTATGAAGAAAAATGTGTAAAGATTAAAATTTTTATTTAAAAAAATGAGTCGTTAATTAATAAAATATATATATAGTATGTATACTTCAGCATAGTTAAAGATAGTGAATATATTTAATTTACCCAACACGCTTAGTTTAGCTTTGGCAGAGTATGTAGTTCCATACGTATTCGACACCATACATTGATATTTTCCCGCTTTAGCATGGGTAATGTTAGTAAGATATAAAATGGACGTTGCCTCGGTTACTCCGCTCTCGGAAGAACTGAGGTGGGTTTGTAAATTCACATCACTTAACTCCACATTATCATGTTTCCAAGTGAAATGGAGCGGTGTATCAGCGGTACTAGTTGCACGACAAATCAGTTTCACATCGTCTCCTTTGATGCTCATTTGACTCGCAGGTTCTTCAATAATCCGCGGTTTTGGATATTCATCTATAAATAAACATAACAAAAAGAAAATTTAATTAAAGACGTAAAATTATACACAAATAATGTACAAAATATAAATTATTCACAATTTTATTTAAATGTATAAAATTATTTATAATGATACTGACCACAAGTAAAATTTGCATAATGTAATTGAGTTAACGACATGCCCTGTAACCAATGCGGATAATTACAGTGCAGCTGAGCTTCACTGTATGGATGTTCTCGCAACCACATACTTAGCCATTGAAGTCCACAGTCGCAAACTAAGGCTCCTAAGGTGTAAATAAAGAAGATAATTTATACATATATTATAAAAGTAGTAAAAATAAATCACATTATGCTCTTATATATTTGATATGTAAGATTCAAACTTACCGGTATTCATCTTAAGTTTGCTCAGACTAGACATTGAAAGGAACGCGTTTTCTTGAATCGACGTAATATTGTTTCCGAGTAAGTCAAGCTCGTCAACATGATTCAAACCAGTAAAAGCATTTTGATTTATGGATTTTATTCTATTGTGCGATAAGCGCAATTTCACCAATTGACCGAGCGGAGAAAAAAATGCGCCATTGATATCTTCTACCATGTACGATATCTGATTCGAATTGAGTTCCCTTTAAAACAAAGTAGCGTTTATAACATAGTAATACATAGTAAACATTAAAACATATAAATATTAACATACAAGATACGAAGGTTTGTCGTATAATTGAATGCTCCATCCGACACATATGTGATTTGATTATGATCCAGTTTAAGTCTCTCAAGCTTCGTGAGAGATTCGAACGAACCTCGTTCTATAGAAATCAATTCATTATGTGACAAGTCTCTGGAAATAGATTGATATCCAAAAGTCAATGAAAGATAAGGATAAAAATTTATAATCATTCGTATCATTTAATTGTAATATTTGCAACAAAAAGACAATAATTTATTTCATGCAATTATGAAAACATTACTAACAGCTCTACTATCTTTTGGCTCATTTCCCATGCTTGAGGTTCAATCATTGAGATCTGATTGTGTGATAAAGTCAATTTTTTCAAATTCTCTAATCCGAACAAGCCTCCCTTCTTTATAGTAGTCAACATATTAAAGTCGAGGTGTAGTAATTCTAAATCTTTAAGTGGCCAGAAAGCTCCATCGTCTAACTTATTAATTTTGTTTCTTTTTAGATATAATTCCTTTAGGCTCAATAAACTTTTCAGGCTTAATCCATGTATTTGTTGTAGATTATTTCTATTCACTTCCCTATAATATTATCACAGACATTATAGATAATACATTGAAGACACTGCTTTCTTACTATATATTTCATATGTATAAATATTATAAAGATATTTTAAAAATATATAAATTCTTACAATATTCGCAATTTTCCCAGATTTATGAAAATATCTTTCAGCTGTGTCAAATTGTTTTTGTTCAAGCGAAGTTCCTCCAATGAAGTAAGATTATCCAAACTTCCATTTTCGATAACTCTTATGTGATTTGCATTTAAATTCCTTCAAATTGAAAAATATTAAACAACGGAATTAACATATAATGTAATAAATTTGTAAAATTAAAATACATACAAATGCATAAGTCGATTAGGAGCGAGAAAAGAATTTCTTTGAAGGACACTTATTTTATTCCCACTGAGATCCAAATATTGAAGCTGTTGCAGATTAAACAACGCCGTCCCATTTATACTAGTAATTAAGTTGTGGGCTCTATAAAAAAATTACAATATTGATAATTATTGGTCCACTGCATAAATTCTAATAATAATTCTAATAATAATTTAATAATAACTGTTTATGAAATTATATTTAAAAAATTTTTTCAATGTATACATGTCGAGTACTTACAATGTAAGATGAATAACATTCTTAACAAATACAAGGTCTGGCACTTGTGTTAAGCGATTTTTATTCACTCTGAGTTCCCGCAATTGTGTTATGTCTGACAACGCAATAGTAAAATTATCTCCGAGGAAGTTAGCACTTACATCTCTGAAATTACAGACAAATATGTATATAAACATTTTTGTCTTTAAATGTTAAATGTTAAGAAATGGATGTTATAATGCTTACAATTTTTTGAGTTCCGTTAAATGAAGCAATGAATCAAATTCCAAATTAGGAATATTATTACCCTTTAATTCTCTAAAAAAATAAGAAAACAATAAATAAATAAATAAATATATATATATAACATTGT